TAATAGATTAATCTGATAAATCTTTTTCAGCTCTAAAGCTCATATTTAGCAAGAAACAATCTTTTTGACCCGATAAAACCAAACTGGGATCGTTGGTTGGAGTGACTATTAGATCTGGAGTTAAACCATCGCCTAAAACCTGGGCAGAGCAAAGAGACGAGTTCTAAACCCAAACTGGAATAGCAGGATGTATGGAAAGCCACAAGGGCCACAACTTCAACAGATCAACTGGTTAAAATGAGCCTGGTCTAAAAACACATTTAGTTTCCGTTTCCTGCTCACAGTTTTTGCAGCTGGCTTCATCCGACGCGTCGGCGCAGTCTCTGATGCCGTTACACTGCCGGCTTCCCAGGATGCAGCTTCCATCGTCACACCTGAACTGATCCGGCCCACAGCTGCGCACGGCTGCAACGGAGGCAAACGCAGGTTAGCTTAATGCTGAAAACATTCCCACCCCGCAGAGGCGTCCGACGCCGCCTTCAGGCGTGGAAACGTACGGCAGTTGGACTCGTCGCTGCCGTCCTTGCAGTCGGGGTCGCCGTCACATCTCCACTTTTTGTGGATGCATTCTCCTGAGCCGCACTGCATTTCGCTGGGCGAGCACTTGGCCGGCGGCGTCGGGTGGCGCCCGCAGCGCGTCGGGTCCTCATCAGACTGGTCCTGGAAGAGAAGGGCGTCAACTTGAAGCATCTGTTTCACCAACATCAGCAGCCTTTTGGTTTTAAGCATCTACAGGATCCAATCAGAACCCGATCAAACTAGAGGGAAAGAGGTGATTAATGACGGTTTACTGGAGCTCATTTTCCTGATCCGCTGCAAAGTTCAACAGACGGGATAAATGCCGACATTTCAAACTGAAAACTAGGGTTAGGCGATATATTGATATACTCCATGCATCTTGAGTTGCCAGCGTTTTTTGCTGGATTTTTGTACGTCAGGCAAATGCTGGTCTAAATCATCAGGGTATGACAGCGGCTTATGTGAAGCGTTTCCAGGGAGACTGAGCATAAACCCCGCCCCCTCCATCCTTTAAAAACAACAGAAACGATGAGCGGCGGCTGTTCCTACCTGGCAGTCCACGTCATCGTCGCACACCCAGCTGGACGGGATGCAGGTCGAGTTCCCGCACTGGAACTCGCTGGGAGCACAGGAGGACGGAGCGCACTCCACCTCATCGGAGCCGTCGCCGCAGTCGTCCTCGCTGTTGCACACGAAGTTCCTGGAGATGCAGCGGCCGCTCTCACAGGTGAACTCGTTGGGAGCGCAGGTGACGTTACCTGTAATAGTTGAAGGGACGCTCAACCAAAGCAGGTTTCATACAGACCACTTCCCTCAGACCATCAACAATACGCTGAGGTTCAACCATTAACGCCGTACTCTGACTGGGAAAGAAAAGAGTCGCCCTTGATCGATGTCTCTTCTATTCGACACCAGGACTCCCAGAATACTGATCCTAATAGAACTCCCATTGGCCGTCAGTTTGATGGCTGATATTTTCCCCCAATGGTACAAATGACGGGTGATGATGTCAACTGAAATTATTCTAGTGTGCGACAAACTCATTGTGGATATAAAGACCTTAAAACAGGTCTAATATGTAATTTTAAAGCTTGTATTAAAAATAAATCTGACTAAATAAGACCGTTTAACTCCACAGCTTCGAAGTTTGAAATGACTACTTTATTTACAGAAATTAATCACCTCAAAACATTTCCTGCACACAAACATCAGAGCATTTTTTTTAGTGCAACGCTGAAGCTCCTGGCGCCGTTTCGTTTGCCTCGCCAAAGCTGCTCTACTGCGGCGGAGAGGCTGGTAACCTGCGGAGCGCATGTGGTCGCCACGCAACCATTTTAACAGTACAAGGATAAAATCTCTGCGCGAGACGGTGGCGTTCAAACAGCTCCTGAACAAAACCAATGCGTTAATAGCCGCTTTGGTCCTCTGAGCGGACCGCCTGAGGTGTGGGCAGTGCTTGAACAAAAGTTTCACTATTGTCTGGTGGGTCACCGATACGTTTGCGTTTTCCTGGGGTTTGGCGATCATCCTCTGAATATAAGCTGCTTCCAATCCTGTCCTCCTAACTGGTCTCTCCCCCTCCGCCCGAATCGCCATCAATATTTTAAAGCATTTCTAAAGCCTGTTTGGCAAATAGATGTCTTCTGAAAGCTATTTTTCCCCCACATACGCCAAAGAGTTTTAGGTAGAATGTTGGTTGCTAGGCAACGGTACCAAACGTCAACCAACCACAGGAAGAATTTACAATACAACTTATTGAGCCGCCAAAATGACGTCAGTGGGAGATGGAGGTAAAATTAACATTTTTATTTTATTTTATTTAAAATTTTCAATTATTTCTTTCATTTTTATTTTAAAATGTGAAGGAAATATAGAAAAAGGAAAAGTCAGTTAACATGAGTTACATATGATTAACGTAAATAAAGTTTTTTTTTCCCTTTAAAATCTCAGAACCGTTAAATGACGGCCTTGGAAGTTCTAGTGTTACTGAATTGAGGCGGAAAAGCAAACTGTGCTGCGACTACTGGTGGAGTTTAAGACCCAGCGGCCAACTTTCTGCAGCCCTCAGCATCCTGTAATCAATGGCACTGAAGGCGGAGCAGCCGAATACACATCTGGAGATTTTCTTTATGTGTTTAATTGATAGAGGGACTGTAGCCCCGCCCCCAATTACCACCATATTCTGCAAAACCAGTTTAAAAAGATAAAT